GCAGCCCTTAGATCCGACGATATACGGTGGTAGCATGATGCAGCCTGACGAAGAGATTCAGTACGCGCCAAGGAGCCGTCCTGTTAGCTTTTATGACAATTTTAAGGTATACCCTCATGTTGTACCACGTGTCATTGTTTACGTTTGCGTGTCTTGACACACCGTCAGTATTAAGGATCTATGTACAAGAACAGCAATATACAGTGTAATGGTAGTACGTTATATCATACAGTATTAAGTATGAAGAAGTATTGAGTAGTATTTAAATAAAAAGTTAGTCTTCATATTAATATGTGCGTACAAATTTCAATCGACTTTCTTCTTTTCTTCATTTATACTTTTCAATTAATTTGTTCAGATTCAATGCCCATTAGTTATCCTGTTTCGTACATAATGATGAGTGTGTAGTTGATGTTCTCAGATTTAACGAAATAGTCTATCAATAGTGAATCTGACGGCGAATTTATAGTTAAATGGAAAACGAGAGTGAGGTAAACCGCAAAGTATGAGAACTATCGATCTGTGTATACATAAGAATGAAATCATTTTAGAATCGTTTAAAAATAAAATTGATCGATAATGTGATAATCACATAAAATGAAGAATCTGTCGACACAATTTATACATGCTTTGTAGTATAATTCCATTTATTTTATTCTATGAAAATGGCATGCGACACGTTCATAGTAATCTTCACATGTTTCATTGTTCAGGACGTGCCAATGGTGACATCTTGCGTGACTTCCGCTCTAAGCGCCGACAATTTGAATCAGGTTCGTGATTCGAACGGTATCAGCTCGTCGATGACCACGGCCAATAACAACAATAACAATAATCGAGTGAGTAGCGCAGTCAGCGCTGGTAACGTGTCGAAGATTCAGAACACCAAGGTCACGGGTAAGTTCAATGAACTTTCCACTTTCTTTTCTCAGTCAGTCAATATCCTGAGAGAAACGCTTATAATCCTATAAAATAAATATCACAAAATGACATGTTTTAATATTTTTCATTATCGTTTTTTTTTTTTTTCAATGACCTGTTAATTCTGACAGCCATGGTATGGTATATTTAACTGCAAACAAAATTGGATATGCCGCCTAGTCTATCCTAGGAAAGTTATTCGGCTGTAAATAGAACGGTCACGAGTGAAATTCGGTCGACATTTTGCTAGCGCTTGGCATTCGTGTAAACTTTCTCGAATTTCATTTTGTTCGTTGCGCGAACACAACGTCAAACAAAACGATACAGAAAATTTTGCCCGCTTTCTAGCCATGCCATCTTGATAATAAGAAAAGATCTTTTCCTTTTTAATTCGCGTTAATTAAATTAAACTTGACCTTCTCGTAGTTAGAATGATTTTCTTAATTCCATTTTTCGAATAAATAAATACGAATTCTTTCATTTACAATCTTCTGTCATAATCGCAATTTACCGTGGTAAAGGAGCTGTGTCAACAGGGAACATTGGGAAAATCTATCGAGAAGGGAAGGAGTTGGGTCGTGCCCCATCAATGGCCAATTGTATGTCAACTACGGTTCCCGTTAATTTGGCAGCCGCTCAAATCGCTGGTCGCCACACACCCACGAGAAATTCTCTCAGGCACAGCAGGATGATCGTATTGCATCGTAGTGGCCATCGTGAGTATACAAACATTAAATCTCTACTTTTTCATTTCCCCCGTTATTCTCTTATTTCCCGTGAAATTAGTTTGTTTGTCCATTAGAAACATGGATAAATATTTAATCTTCTATAGAATTGACTTAAAAAAAGAAAAAAAGATATTGATGTAATTAAAGAATTATTTATTCATATGAGTGAATTATTTTATTTTGTTAATCGTGTTTTTAAGAGAAAGATTGTAGTATATTTATAAGCGAGTAATTTTTATTCAACTCATATTGTTTCTTAAAATTATTTGAAGACAATTTAGTTTGAAGTTACTTACATAGTATAAATGTTGAATGCTTGAATGCTTTGACTCAAGTATATCCTATATAATTTTGCTGCTATTACTTTCCCTGTGAAAACAAAAAAAAAAAAAACTTCAACTTTTTCATATATAAAAAATGAAGTAAAACCTTGAAATAGAATATAAAACTTTGTGAACCTAATAAAAATTAAGGTATCCGCAAGCATTTATTAACTTATCTTTAATTCATCTTTAAATATGCTACAATGTTTCTTTAAGAAGTAATTAAAAAGTCTACATTGAGCCTTATCATATGATTGGGTCACTGGACTTTTTCTGCTGACTAATTTCACAAAAAGTTGGGACTTGGATGTACTTCAAGTCCGTGTCTATCGAGTTGGAGAATATCTTACGTCGAATTCCTAGAAATTAATTTTCAAAGATATTGAAAAGAAATTAAATGCTTCAAAAGTACCTAATACCTCAACTGAAAAATACCACTTATATATGTACATACTTAGGTTCTTATACACGTATTTCTCATTATCATATAAATAATAAATACAATACTGTAATCTGTAAAAGTTGGAAGAAAATTTTTGTACAATTATCTTAGTTGTACAATTATATGCATATTTTTATATTGAGAAATTTTTCTTTGCCCGAGTATGTAATAATAAAATGACTTTAGGATTTTTGCTTTCACGTTGATTGAACAAAAATCAGAGATCTGAACAGGTAAAATACACGCGAAACGAGTCTCGAATGTCACCGAACGGCCTTTCACGGTGCAATAAACATTCTTTCGAATAGAAGAGAAGTGCAACGTTACTGAGAATGATTAATAATTTATATATTACGATATAAGGGGAAGGAAATCCCTTCAGATTCAATGTTGGCGGATTTTAAATTTAAATTTGCAGTACCTTTCTATCTAAGTTCACCGACTTAGTTGTTAGTTCGATTACGTTTAAGTTTGTATCTTATTGCGTTCAGTTCTATTCGTTCTGATTCATTTTCATCAGTTCCATTATCATGTAATATCCAATAGACATTTATCTTAAAAAAGTTATTTCTCTTCAAACATAACTTGCACAGATTAATATGCTATGCTAGAGAAAGGACTGGGCGCTCAATCTCTCTTGAAAATTTTTTCAATGATGATTCGTCTAGTTACGTGACTGTTGCAATCTCGTCCTGCATTTGTAACGACATAGTTATAATAAACTACCGACATCGAGATTGTTGCCAGGATAGTCAGGAAGATTATGTCTGAAAGCTTTAAGCTTAACGTCTTCTTGTTTCTTATTTCTAACAAGTATATTTCAATGTTTTTTAAATCAATTTTAACTGTGAAACTTCAACATTTCTTTCATAGTTAATATAGTCGTTTTTTTTTTTTTTTTTTTTTTTTTTT